CCCTCTTGGCCGCTCCCGACAGATAGCCGAGCGCGATGCGATGGCAGCGGCTTGTGCGCTCTGGTTCGGTCTCCCCGCGGCCCCCGAAAGCCTCGCACCAGAGGTCACTCTTGGCCAGGGTCGCCCCTGCGTGCAGGAAAGGGAGGAGGACCGGCGGAGGAGAGGGAACCGATGCCGCTACGCTCTCGTCGGACGTTCTCGTCTGGTCTCGGCGGTTGTCCAGCCTCGGAGTGCTCTCCTGCGTCCTGCAGGGATTTGCCCGGCGACTGCCGGGGAGAGCCGGGCCGCTGAGCCCCCGAGAGGGGGAGGGGATCGTAGAGGGGGCAGGTGCGCCAAAGCTCCGACGATGTGTGTGTCCTCGAGGGCCCGTGGTCGGGCCCTGGAGGGCCATCAGAAAAGGATCCGGGGCAAGACACTGACCTCGAGGTCAGTGTCTTGGGCCCTGGGGGGCCATCGGGGCAAGACACTGACCTCGAGGACACTGACCTCTCAGGATCCAAGACCTGACCTCGAGGTCAGGTCTGGGATCCCAGACCCCTAAGTCTCGGGCCGGACGAAGGGGGGGGGGGATTGGGAAAGGGGGGGTGCGAAATCTGCTGCGTGCAGCTGGTTTCGGCCCCACCGAGGGGCCCACTCCTCGATACATGGACGCCTCCGGCGCCGGGAGGCGCCGGAAAAAGCAGCCACGTGAGCTGATTCTCAACCTCCCCCTATTGCTATTCCCCCCCTGTCGCCCGACCCGAAAGTCGTGGAACCATCACGGCGGGAGTGTGTTGCTGCTGCTGCTATTATTTTGAGCATCTGGGGTCCCTCGCTGGGCCCCAGGGCCGTCAAAGAACTGCTCCGGATGAAAAAAGCTGGTCCTTTGGGAATGGGTCGAGACTTCGAGACCTCCAGGAGGGTCACGGGAGGAAAGGGTAAAAAGATACGGTAGGTTTGCGTCGTGTCGACCAGCGGCGACCCCAGCGCGGGCGTTCAAGGTTGAACGCCGCCGGCGGCCCAGAATCGATCGATGTTGAACGATCGGACGTTGCGGCAGCGGCCGATCGCTCAAGGTTGAACGATCCAGCGCGGTGTCAGGAACCAACGCCAGGGTCGACACGGCACGAACCTGCAGTATCGATGCTGCTACCCTTGGCAGCGTTTTCTGGCCCACCTGGAGGCCCTCGTCGCCACCGCTGGGTTCGTCTCGAGATTCTCGTGAGAACGCACCCCGGGAGAGGTCTGGGGAGTAGCGGTATCGGTACCTGTTGGTCTCTCCAAGAGGAAGGGCGTCGGCTGCACGATGGAAGGCGGTCGGTTTGTGCCGTGTTGACGCGGCGGCCACCCCAGCGCTGGGCGTGTAAGGCTGAACGCCGCCAGCGGCCCCGAATCGGCCAACCTTTGATGATCTGACGATCGAGAAGCTGCTGCGCTGTTCCCGGCCCCCCGTCCCACGAGGCAGAGCGACACGCCTCCAGCTAGCCTGCAAGGCACAGCTGGCGTATCGTAGGGGCTGCCCCCGCGGCACGCTGAGCAGCAGCTCCCGACCGTAAGAGTGGCCCTCCGCAGGAGTTGCCTCTGGTGCGCGGCGCTCGGGAGGCCAGGCTCAGGCACGCAGGCCGCCACGCTGCCGCATGGCGAGCAGCGGCGGGCAAGGCGGCCGCGCACCAAAGGTCACTCTAGAGGGCCACTCCAGCGTGCAGCCGAGGGCGATTTTCCATCCGCCCTGGCGCGCCCCGTACCTGCCACGCGCAGGGGGGGGGTATGGGGGAGGGGGATCGGCTTCTCAGAAGCACCCCCTGCTTCTTAAGAAGGCGCGGGCCTTGTCTGTAGACATAAGGCTGGCGCCTTCTACGGAGCAGCCTCCTTCTAAGAAGCCTTCCCCCCTCCCCCTACCCCCCCCTGCGCGCCGCCAGCAATACCCGGCGCGGTCAGGAGGTCCGGGCAGGATGGGGAGGAGGTCTGGGTAGGACTCGAGCCGTTCGGGCGGGGTAGGGACGATGGCACGGGCAGGGCAGGTGGCGGGAAGCGCAGAGGTGGGCGACAGCACCCGGGCCTACTCAAAGGCAAAGAAAATTCTAAGAATCAGAAGGCCCAGACACCTGGCCGCGCCAACGTATTCGATGCGTGGGCCCCGGAGGTCCAGAGCACTTCCCAGGGGCCGGTTGTCCGTCCTGAGTCCTTGTTTGACGCTCCCGATTTTTCCCCGGAGGCCGAAAACTGCCAAAATACCGCCGCTCAATTTTTTCTGGAGCGTCGGATCTCTGGGGAAGAAAGAAGGATGGAGTCACTCAAGGCTCGAGAATCGATGTTCGGAGGGTCTTCTTGGGGCTTCCCAGGGCGCCCTTACCGCCGCGACCCCCCCCCCTCGAGATCCTGCCCGGAGCGCACCCCAGGACGTGTCTGGGGGCGCGGTGTTCGACACTGCGGGCCCGGGCCCCCTCGCGTGGTGAGAGAATCCAAACGAAAGTCGGTCCGGTGGTAGAATCGGGGGTGACGTAAAGAGGGGTTGGGGCCCTTTGGGGCCCTTTGTCTTTACCTCCCTTTTTCTACGTCGCCCCCCACTACCATTAAGTCGGGCCTGTCCCTCTACAGGGGGGATATTCAAAGATAGTCAAAAATAGCCTGGGTAACATTTGTTTGTACTTTTGATTATCTTTTGAACATTTTGGGGATATTTTTTTGTTCGTCCAAAATTTCCCTGTACGGGGACAGGCCCGACTTAACCCTACCGCCCGCCCGAACAGGGTGCTGGGCAGTCTTCGGCACCGGGGGGCCCCTGCCGGACCCTGGCACCCGTCGAGGGACTTCTCGCGAGGAGCCTCGTGCGGGGGCAGGGGGCCCAGGCCTCCCAGGGTCCACACGTCGCCTCGCCGTCTGTTGTAAGTCGGGCCCGTCCCTCCACAGGGGGAGTTTTCAGAAATAGTCAAAAAATAATATGGGGACTGTTTTGAATATTTGTTTGACCAATTTGGAGCATGTTTCGAATATTTCCAATTTTTCGTCGAAGATCCCCCTGTAGGGGGACAGGCACGACTTAACGTTTGCTCCGACGCGCGGCCTTCCGTCTTGGGGAGGGCGCCGGCCACCACGGCAAACCGAGGGCCTCGGACACGGTGTGCCCCGGGTTTGCCGTGGTGTCGGTTTCGTCCACGCGGGCGCGTCGAGAGCGAACGGCGCGGCGCCACATGGTGAAAGATCGCAGGCAGCTGCGCGGAGTGGGGGCTACCCAGTGGAGCGTCCCGGCGGAGTACCGCGGGCCACGCCCATACAGTGAGGGCCCATGCCAAGAAACACCCTGCTTGCCTCCAGGGTGCCCTGGGTTTCTTGGGTTTCGATGTTTTTGCTATGGGAAGCGTGACGTTCCCACACCAAAAATCAATGGACGTCCTGGGGTCTCAGGGTTGGGTTTCTTGTGGACGGTTTCTTTTGGACTGGCCTCCGCTGTGGGTCTATTATGGCGGTGCAGACGGGCCATATGCCGTATACGGATTAGTGTTCATGATGGCGGCGACGATGATGAGTTATTGACGCTTGGCATTTCCCCATCATCCTATCCGGAAACGGTGCCCAGGCGAGGTGCGTCGATCGGGGACGTGTATGAAGAAGCAGTGGAACAAAGAAGGAGGCAACCGTCAAATCGAAGCTCGAAATCAGCCTGATTAGATCCAGGAGTCAATCAAAATTGCCTTCTGATCTTTCGATACGGGAGTCTCTTAGCAGCTTACTTTGGGGCAATGTTGGGGCAATGTTTGAAACCTTTGGGGCTCTCTTGGGGCCCTCTTTGGGGTCTCGTGGGGGTCTGTTGGCCTCTTGGGGTCCTCCTGCAGGCCATCGATCAAAGAAAGAGGGGATCTTTACTTGGGAGTGATCTTGGAGCGCTCTTGGGCGCTCCTGGGGTCGCCGTAAAGCCTCCATTTTGACCCTCTTAGTGCTCTCTAGGGACGTCTTCGAGCCTCTTTTGAGGTCCCAGACGCCCATCGGAAGCGAAAAGGCCAGCAAGCAAACTGGCTGGACGGGTGGGAGTGCGCTCTGCCGTCGGCGGCGCGCACGGGTGTGACCTTCTGCCAGGGTGACCTGTGGCGCTGCTGGGCACCGAAAATGCACCCCCGTCCCCACATGGCCCCCCTCCCTCCTTCTGGGGCTGGGCCAGAGAGTTCCGAAACCCGATCGAGGGGATGCTGCGCAAGAGCGGCACGAACAGCAGAATCACCCCACCCCCACCCGGCCCTCCCCGGGAAGGGGAGCCAGATGATGGGGGTTGGGGGCGAACTTTTACCACCCTGCGCTGAGCCGAAGGGGGCGCCTGAGGGCGCTCCTCCAGTACTCCCGACGGCGCCCGGAGGGGCTGTCATTTGGGGAGGGGTGCCCCCCAAACAGCAGCTCGCCAAGGGTCACCCTTGGCAAAGGTCACCCGCACGCAGAGCCGATGCTGACGCGGCTCAGAAGCATATCCGCCCAGTGTGTTCGGAAGCTCCACTTCTCTAGGCCTCCTAGATGAGATCGGAGTAGATGGGGTCGAGGGATCGAGCCGCATCGCCAATACATCGATGATGCGGCTCGATGTTGAGCCCGCGTTTCCCCACGCCGACGTCGCCGATGCATCACGGATGCATCGCCGATGCATCGGCGATGCATCGGCGATGCGGCGCGATCCCTAGACCCCATCTACTCCGACCCCATCTAGGAGGCCTCTAACTTCCGGAGCTGGGGCTCGACATACTTGGCCCTCGGCCAGTGTGCAGGAGCATCAAGGCGGCGCCCGCGGGACAGCGTGCCACAGGGACCCCCAGCCGCTCTCAGGCCGCGTCGGCCACCGTCGCTGCGGACGCGCACGCCAAGGTGGACGGCGCCATCAAAGTGAAGCCGGCCGCCTCAGCTTCTGGCGGAAGGAGGAGGAGGAGGAGGACGAGGAGGAACACAGGCGCAGCACCAGGTTTCCTAAGCGGGGCCCGAGCATACGAGGTCCGAAGACCGCGCCGCATCGCCGGTGCATCGGCGAAGCGGCGCGATCCGCAGCCTAAGAATCTCCATCCTCCGTCCCAGGTTCGCCGAGCAAGCGGCGATGCGGTGCGATCCTCGGCCCCAACGGCTAGCACTCACCGTGAGCTCAGTAGGGCCGCGGGCGGTCTCCAGGGCCTCGGGGGGCTGCACCGCTGTGCGTGTGCTTATGTGGAGCGGCTCCTCGTGTTACGTGACATTTCTGGCCGAGAAATTGTTCTTGCCAGCGGGGGAACCCAGACAGCTCAAGCCGCCGCAGAAACTACGAGATGCCCGCTTTTTCCTTGCAAGAGGTATCGTTCGGAGTTCGATCACGTGCGTTCTTTTCGACGACTTGGGCGTTCTGGGCTTCGTTGTGAGACAGAGCGCAGCCGTCCTGTGGGACGGCGTCGCGAGAAACCATGAAGTCGTGGGAAGCCGCGACAGAAGCCTTGATTTTATTCGAGCCAGGCCGATCTGTGAGGGCCCCTGGGCCCACAGCTGGGCAAGGGCGTCCGTCTCGCTATGTGCCCGTCTCGCGATGTGCCTCTGGCTCAAGCTTCCTTGACTCACAGGCGCCACCGCAGGCACGGACGCTCAACTGCCGTGTGCGTGGTCCCTTGGTGTGAAGACCTTCGTATCACGATACGGTACCTTGCAGAGTGCTCATGGCAGCCTAGCTGAACCAAACAAGAACATACACATCGCTGCCGCGCACACCCAACCTGGAGGCCTGCGAGCGGCGCGTTCGGCGCCGCCGAGGTGGGCACCCGGTCCAGGAGTGCTCGGGCAGCGCGCGCGGGAGAGGGGCAGCAGCGCGGCACGGAAGCACCGCTTCCGCATGGGACGGCGCAGGAGAGCGGCAGGAGCGCGCGCCTCCCGGCGTCGGCCCCAGCCTTTTCCTCCTCCTCCTCCTCCTCCTCCTCCTCCTCCTCCTCCTCCTCCTCCTCCTCCTCCTCCTCCTCCTCCTCCTCCCCCTGCCCCCCCTGGCGCAGGAGGCGCGGCAGGAGGCGCGCGCCATACCGGAGGAGGGCGGGTTGAGACCACGGTGGTTGGCCTTCGAGGCCACTCGTCGCCGCGGCCGGGCTCCGCCCGAAAATCTGGTGCGTTGGGGGCGCTGGGAGGGGTCCAGGGGCCGAGTCCGAGCTGCCGCGGTCTCCACTCGCTCCAGGCTCTCCTGGGCCCCCACCGCCTGCAGGCTGTCCGGGCCTCGCAGCACGCAGGTCTGCCCGGGCCTCGGAGCGCGCGGGTCTCCGTCCTGCTCCCCCCGGTCCCTGGATCACGAGGCCCTCGCTTTTCCCAGGCGGTTCCGACGCCGGGCCGGCCTCCCGCGGGGACCCCCACAGATGGTCTGGGCTGGAGCTGGCGGAAGCCTCTCCCCTCTTCAAGGGCCCCCTTCCGAACCACCCACTGCAGGTTCGCGCCGTGTCGGCACGGCGGCAACCCCTGCGTGGACGTTCCAGGTTGGACGCCGCCAGTGGCCTTGAATCGGCCGATGTATGTGGAAGGATGCGCGCCATCGGATAGCCGCGATCGCGCAAGGTTGAACGATCCGCGCCATGTTGGGAACCAGCGCGCAGGTCGTCACGACACGAACTCGCCGTAGAGACCGGTCGGCGGGCTTCTCTTCGAGTGCGATGGGCAAAGAGTGCATCTCTCTGAGCCATAATGTTCCTGAGTTTTTTGCGGGGGTCGGGGTGGCAGTTTGGTCCCCAAAGTTCGACAGCCTGGGGGATCCCTGCCCCCTGGCCCCCCCGAGCCCCGCGCGTCGGCAGGCCCGTAATGGGCTTTGCCAACGGCAGGCGCCCCCCGACAGGAGCCGTCCTCTGCTTGTAACTCGTCGGGATGTTCCACTAATTTGAGAAGTGCCTGGAGCCTCCCGTGAGGCTCTCCTTCGTGTAGCTCTGGCGGGCTTGCGACTCGTGGCTTGCTCGTTCTGTGCTGCGTCCTGCGTCCCCACCCCAGAGCTCAGGGAAGAAATAATGACATCGACTTTCTGAGGTACGCGCGGATTTCTTGGATCGGCGTGTGACCCCCTCGATCCGAGGAATCCGCGCGGACCTCCGAAAGTATATGTGTGTGTATATATATATATATGTGGGTACAGGGCCGGGGGCCTTCTCCCAGTTGCATTTCTCGGGTCGCCATGGTGGCTCCGGGCTCCCTCGGGACCCTCTCCAGCGACCTCAGAGCCGACCAGACGGCCTTCAGTGGTGCCACAGAGACACCAGAAGGCTTCATAATGTCGCGTGGGGATTTCGGGCAACCCTAGATAGCTTCAAGACGGACCAGTAGGATTCGACTTTCGCTCGCCAGAGGGACCCAAGAGGCACAAACCACTGATTTGCAATGGTTTCTGGGATTCTCAGTTTTCGAGCTTCCGACGCTCCACACGGCCCAAGAGGCTTCCAAGACCGCCCCAAGACGGCCCAAGAGACCCCCAAAACCGCCCCAAGTCGGGCCCAGAGGGTCCCAAGACGGCCCCAAGAGGGGCCCAAGAAGGCCGGCCTCAGTGGCGCCACAGTGACACCAGAAGGCTGCGAGATGTCCCGCGGGCTTCCGGGCAGCCCCAGACAGCTTCAAGACGGCCCAAGAGGACTCCACTTTCGCTCCAGGAGGGCCCCAAGATGCTAAAACCATTGATGTACCATGGTTTTTCCATGTTTTTGGGGTTCTCGACTTTCGAGCTTCTGACGCTCCACGACGGCATAAGAGGCCTCCAAGACCGCCCCAAGACGGCCCCAGAGACGTCCAAGACCAGCTTTCAGACGGGCCAAGAGGGTCCCAAGACGACCCCAAGAGGGGCCCAAGACGGCCCAAGAGGGCCCCACGACGGCCCCAAGAGGGGCCCACGACCAGGAGACCGCAAGGATAATTCGACCCTTCCGTCCCAAGATGCCCCCAGAAGGCCCAAGAGGGTTCTCCGAGCGCCCCCCAGTAAGCCCCAAGAGGCACAAATCATTGATTTTCCAAAGTTTTTCATGCTTTTGGGCCTCTCGGCTTTCCCAGCTTCCGACGCTCCACGACGTTCCTAGAGGCCCCCAAGACCGTCCCGAGACGGACCGCCAAGAGGCACCCAAGGGCGTCCACAGACGGCCCAAGGAGGCCCCGAGCGGCTCTAAACAGAGGGGCCCGAGCGCAGGAGCCCGAAGCGATATTTCGAGTCTTCCGTCCCAGATGCCCCCTAAACGGCCTCAGAGGACTCGAGCAGCGCTCCCCAGATGGCCGCAAGAGTCAAAAACAAAGTATTGTCTTTGGGTTTTAATGTAGTTTCGAAGGTCTCCACTTTTCGAGCTTCCAGCGCTCCACAACGCCTCGAGAGGCCCCTAAGACCGCCCCAGATGGCCCAAGAGGCCCCAACGAGGGCAGGACGGCCCAAGAGAACCCCTAGACGGCCCTATACGCGCCCACGACACCCAAGAGAGCTCCGAGACGGGCCCAAGAGGGCCCTTAGACTTAACACACATTGAACACGAACCGCTTCCTCGTCAAGGACGGTGTTGTGTTAAATTTGTGTTAAATTATTGGGGGTCGGGGAGCGCTGTGGGGGCTCCCTTAGCCCCCCTTTGGGGGCTCCTCGGAGGCCCTGTTTGAGCCTGTCGCGGTGGCTTTTGTGGGCCTCTCTGTGGTCCTGACGTCCAGGTCCATCGGGGATTGTCGTTGAAAACCCTTGTAAGACGCCCGAGTAAGACAGTTCGACAGGCCCCGATCACGTCCTAAGGAGGCTCCAAGAGGCGCCCCGAGCTTCGTCCCATAACTAAGCAATTTGTTTGGCGACGGACCCATCCTTGCGCAGTCATGTGTGGCGCAGAGCGCCGGTTTCTCTTCATGCACTGCGCTCCGCGGAGCAATTCAGAAAGACGGCTGCTGCAGGGCGCGCGTGCACGGGTGCGCGGAACTCCTTAGAGGGCGCGATCCGCGTGAAGGGTGTGCCGAATAACTCGGATGCCTCCGCGCGAACACGCCTATGGAGGCGGCAGGTGGACCTCCTCCGGGCACGACCAGTGCGAGGCATGTTCCGAGATGAGCAGGGGCACGCCATGCGAAGTTGCGCAGGGTTGCCATAGGTGGAGCTTCTTCTGGGGCACGACTCGCGTGACGGGTGTGCCGACATGGGCGCTGGGGCGCTGTACGAGCCTTGTCTCTGGGCCTTGAGGTGGTGCTCCTTGCGGGCACAATCCGCGTGATGGGGTTGTGCCGCAATGGCCAGGGGGGGGGGGGGGGGCGCAGTGCGAACCCTGCCTCTGGGGCCGTAGGTGGAGGGAGATCCATGTGTGCCACGATCCGTTTGAGAGGTGTGCCGAAGTAGGCGGGGGGACGGGATGCGAACCTTGGGGCCGTCCGCGATTTTTTTTTTGTTGCGGACCACTAGCTGGGCGACGTCGTCAAGCTTCCCTCAGGAGCCACAAATCCGCTTACTTGTGGGGCACGATCCGCCTGAGGGGCGTGCCCCTCTGCGAGCCTTGTCTCTGGGGACGTCGGTGGGGGTCCCGGTGGGCCGTGCTCCCTGTGAGGGGTGTGCCGACACGGGCGCGGGGACGCTAAGCCAGGCCTGTCTCTGGGGCCGCAGGCGAAGGCCCCTGAGGGGCACGATCCATGTGACAATATGTGGTCCAAGGTCTGGCCACCTCCGCCGGGCCCCTCCCCCCCCGCGGGATGCCCTTCCCCCCCCCCCTTGTGGGTGTGGTGTGGTGCTGTCGGCGTGGCGTGTCTGACGTGGTGCTGTGGTGCTCCAGGAGAGCTCCAGAGGTCGTCGTCGCCGCAGCCGCCGCCGTCGTCGTCTTCGGAGGGCTCTGGAGGTCGGCGGCGGCACCGCTGCCGTCGTCGCCGTCGTCGTCGCCGTCGTCGTCGCCGTCGTCGTCGTCGTCGCCGTCGTCGTCGTCGTCGTCGCGGTCGTGGTCGTCGCCGTCCTCGTCGTCGCCGCCGTCGTCGTCGTCGTTGCCGTTGTCGTCGTCGTCGTTGTCTTCGTCGTCGTCGTCGTTCCCCCGCATCCCATGAGGGGGGGGGGGCCGAGGGACCCTGAGACCCATCCCATCCGGGGGGGGGGGCCCGTGGGCCCGGAGCCCGGGATCATACATGGTCCAGGGCTTGGGCCCGCCCCCCCCCCCCCAGTGCTGATGCCATTGGGCCCCCCCCCCCGCCCCCCCGCGCGATGGTCCCCCCCGCCCCCCCCTGGGGGCGTGGCGTGGTGCTGCGCTGCGGTGCCCCCCCCCCTGTGGATGCGGTGTGGTGCTGTGGTGGTTCAGAGGTGGGCGTGGCGTGGTGCGGCGCTGCGGTGCCCCCCTCCCCCCCCCTGTGGATGTGGTGTGGTGCTGAAGGTGGTTCAGAGGTCGTCGTCGTCGTCCTCCTCGTCGTCGTCGTCCTCGTCGTCGTCGTCGTCGTCGTCGTCATCCTCGTCGTCCTCGTCGTCCTCGTCGTTCTGGTCGTCGTCGTCGTCGTCGTCATCATCGTCGCCGCAGCCGTCGTCGTCGTCGCCGTGGTCGTCGTCGTCGTCGTCGTCGTCGCCGTCGTCGTGTTCGTCGCCGTCGTCGTCGTCGTCGTCGTCATCGTCGTCGTCGTCGTCGTCGTCGTCGTCGTCGTCGTCGTCGTCGTCGTCTCTGGGACCATACCATCTCGGGGGGGGGGGCCCGAGGAATCCTGGGACCATACCATCTGGGGGGGGGGGCCCGTGGGCCCGGAGCCCGGGACCATACATGCTGTCCGACGCCGGGCACTTCAGACTGCAACCGGAGCAGGCTGGAACCAAGGCGCGCCGCGCCCAGCGGACGCGCGTGGTTCCAGCTCACGTCTTCACGCCACCGGGCGCTCCCCGAGGAGCACCCGGTGGCCACGGGCTCGGTGCTCGAGGCCGCCTGCGCTCCCCTCTCCCGCCGACTCTCGGCGGTCGGGCCTATCCTTAAGTCGGGCCCGTGCCTCTACAGGAGGAACATTCAAAAACAGGAAAAAACATGATCTGGGGACTATTTGTTTGGTATTTTTTGACCATTTGGGATTTTTTTGTTGAGTATCTGTTTTTTTTTCGTCGAAGATCCCCCTGTAGGGGGACACGCCCGACTTAAGCCTGTCCCTTCTTCCTGCTCCGCGGCCGCTCTCGCGCTGCGCGCCCAGCGCGCCCCGCCAGAAGCGGCCCCACGCGCCCGCCCGCGCTGCCGATGCGCATGCGCAGACGCTCTCTTCCCCGAAGGGCCGTGCCCGCAGACGCCGACGGCGTGGCGCCCACCCTCTCGCGCGCCTCGCTCCTCCTCCTCCTCCTCCTCCTCCTCCTCCTCCTCCTCCTCCTCCTCCTCCTCCTCCTCCTCCTCCTCTTCGTCCTCCTACTCCGCCACCTCCAACTTCTGCTGGTGGTGGTGGCGAACACGCCCATCACCCTCTCCCGCGAGGCCGCCCGAGCGCCGCGCCTCGGGGGCGGGCCAGCCAGCGGCCGCCCCGGGGGCGTTCCCGCCCGACCAGCAGCGATTGCAGGGCCACTGTTCAACCACCACTACCATAGGTAGTGATTGGGAGGTCCTGCTCCTCCTCCTCCTCCTCCTCCTCCTCCTCCTGCTCCTGCTCCTTCTCCTCCTCCTCCTCCTCCTCCTCCTCCTCCTCCTCCTCCTCCTCCTCGCCCAAGCCGTTCCGAGGGAGAGTTCGGCACGATCGGCATGGGTACGGCTCGGAGACAAGTCGACTGGGGTGAATTGCACGGGCCCACTCGTCGGCATGCGATTGTACCTGTGCAGTCCCCCGTCGGTGTCGCGAATCGACGTGTGTGTGTTTTTCCCGATGCGTTTGGCAGCTCTTGGACGTCGATGAGCTATTCCACCCAGGTCCACTTGGAACGCGGTGCCATGGGTACGTGGAGTTCCCCTGGCAGCTTTCGAAAAGAGCGTTCTGATATTGGGCGTTCTTTCAAATCCCGAAGGGAAGAATGGGGACGAAGACCGACAGCAGTCCCTGTCGATTTTGAAGCAGGGTTCGCTGTCGGCGTCGCCGCGGACGCTGTCCGCTTGAAATGACAGGGCGCCTGCCCAACAGCGGCCGCTGTCGGTTTGGGACAGCATTTGCTGTTTGGGGCAGAGATGGGGGTTAGGGTCCCGCAGGGGGGGGGCTATAGACACCGTTCCTGAGCCCCTACAGGCCGTACCAATTGTTTTCCGTACCCATTTCGGGCGTCCAAAGAAGAGGTTCTGAGTTTTTGTTCGCCGCGTCCGTGCTTTTGAGGCCCTTGAGGCACTTCCAGGGCCCCGGGGCGTTCCATAAACTGCTCAGGATGACAGGCTGGTCCTTGGAGAAGGGCCCGGGGTAGGCCCGTCCCCCTCGGGACCCCTTTCTTCCCTGCCAGGATGAGGTGAGACCCCGGCAGGGCGCCCGAGAAACCAGCCCGCCCGTAGGTGCCCCACGAAAATTAGCTACCCCTCGAAGGCCCAGGCGACAGACAGAAGTCCTGGGCCACCTTCGGAAGTTGTTGGGAAGTCATTGGAGAACGTGCCCCTAGATCTCTTGCAATTCGTAGGATGCCCAGTCGAACGCGCCTGCTGATGCACACGCAGGACGAGGAAGCGCATCCATCGCCACCACGCCTCCGGACTTCGACGAGGAGGAGAGGGAGAAGGGAAGGGCTTGACGTCTCCACGCTGGGTCTGCCGCCGCCGCCGACTACGACTACGACGACGAGGACGACGAGGATGATGATGATGATGATGATGATGATGATGATGATGATGATGGTGATGGTGATGGTGATGGTGATGGAAATGGTAATGGTGATGGTGATGACGGCTGATTGATGACGGCTGATGATGATGTTGTTGATGATCATGACGATAATGATGATGATGTTGATGATGATGCAGAGTCTGATGATAATGCTGATGATGATGGTGGTGTTAGTGACGATGATTATGATGATGGTGGTGATGATGATGGTGACAATGATGGTGATGATGATGATGATGATGATGATGATGATGATGATGATGATGATGATGATGATGATGATGATGATGATGATGATGATGATGATGATGGTGCGGATGCTGATGCTGTTTTGATGATGGTGGTGACGTTGGTGATGGTGATCAGGAGGAGGAGGAGGAGGAGGAGGAGGAGGAGGAGGGGGATGAGGAGGGGGATGAGGAGGAGGAGGAGGAGGAGGCTTGGCGGTTGCGTCTTCTCGCCCTCCCCAGCACGTCGCTCCCTCGAACGCAGTGCAGCTACGGCGAAGTGGTAGGCCTTCGCTGGGATGCAGTTTTGCCATGGGTCGGGCCTTAGAAGGCCATCAGAGCGGATAGTTGAGACTCTGGCCTTCTCGAACAATCATTTGAAAAGTTGTGCAGTGCCTATGTCTTGAATTCAGAAGGTGCAGCGGGAGCGACAGGAGAAGCAGTAGGAGGAGGAAACACGCGTTCCTCCTCGTCCTTCTCTCTGGCTTCCTGATGTAGCCGTCTTGGCAGAAGCTCCTGTTCTTGTTCCCCGAGACAGTTGCTATATTTCAGCTGCTCCCTCACGACTTAGTTTCAGATGGCCAGATAAGGGGCCATACCCAATCCATGAACCCGTTCGCAAAGTTACTTGTCGCGGCCGCCTTGTCCCGGGGGTGCCTGTGTATCCAGGAGTGGGGCCGCCAGGCAGCAAGCCACCGACGTGGCGATGCGGCGCGACCCAATATACTCCTGATTCTCGCCGATGACCTGGGGACAAATGACGTCGGCTGGGTGAACAAAGACAACGCAAACGACATCAGCACGCCCAACATCGACTCGCTGGCGGCCCAGGGCGTCAAGCTGACCAGCTTGTACGTGCAGCACGTCTGCGGGCCCTCCCGCGCGGCGCTCATGACGGGCAGGTACCCCTTCCACCTCGGCCTTCAGCACGCCAACATCGTGGCTGAGCAAGAGAACGGCGTGCCGAGGAACGAGTCGACCATTGCCTCTGCGCTGCAGGCGCTGGGCTACACGACGTACGGTGTGCGTCATCCCCTGCCATCTCCTCCTCATCCACCTCCTCCTCCTCCTCCTCCTCCTCCTCCTCCTCCTCCTCCTCCTCCTTCTCTTCCTCCTCAACCTTCTCCACCTCCTTCTCCTCCCCCTCCTCTGGCTCCTCCTCCTCCTCCTCCTCCTCCTCCTCCTCGTCCCCTTCCCCAGTCCTCCAGTGTCGCAGGAGGTGGACACAAGCACACGCATCTGCTTCGCATGGTCTGCGTCGAGTGGGCCGGTTCCCGGCCCCAGTGTCCATAGAACACGCTTACAGCGAATAACCTGGAAACGGGCCCATACCTCTTGTGCCCACGTGGCAAAAACGTCGTGCGACGTGTGGCTTCGTCGTCGTCGTCGTCCTCCTCCTCCTCCTCTTGCTGGTCCCCACGCTCCCCCTCTGCCCCCCCCTCACTCCCTCATCCTGGCCGTTTCTCCCTCCTGTCTATTCCTTGGGACCCGCCGTAGCACTCCAAACATCCCACACGACCCCCACTACCCTTCCCAAGTGCCCATGCGAAGCCCAGATTCTGCTGCTCTTTCCTCTCCTGCTCCTCCTCCTCCTCCTCCTCCTCCTCCTCCTCCTCCTCCTCCTCCTCCTCCTCCTCCTCCTCCGTCCTATTTGACTCCTCATAAATAGCTCCTCCCTGTCGCTCCCCCCAGACGTGTTGGTAGGGCGGGCCAGGCATTTCGCATGAGACTTCCTCATTGCTTGCGGTCCTGCAGCTCGACAAACCACGGATGGAGGGCGGGCCGTATTCAAAATGTGGTTCTCGCCTTAGCGCCGCGCGCATTCGTTTTAAAAGGTCGCAGCAGCTTCACGGATGGAGGGCTGTCTTTTTTCAATATGTGGTTCTCGCTCTAGCGCCGCGCACATTGGGCTTCAAAGTTTGTAACGGTTTCACGAATTGTTGCCGCTTCTGTTTCAAATGTGGTTATTGCCGTGGCGCCGCGCATATTCATTCGTTCAAAAGTGTGCAGCAGTGTTGAGGATTCCAATGCTGAGGTTCCAGGAATGGCGTTCTAGGACTGTCAAAACGCAGCCGTCGCGCTGATTCGCTGTGGTGAAATGCCAGCATGTGCACCCTGGCGCGATGTAGGATTGCCTGGGCGCGAATTGTTGCCGCTTCTGTTTCAAATGTGGTTATTGCCGTGGCGCCGCGCATATTCATTCGTTCAAAAGTGTGCAGCAGTGTTGAGGATTCCAATGCTGAGGTTCCAGGAATGGCGTTCTAGGACTGTCAAAACGCAGCCGTCGCGCTGATTCGCTGTGGTGAAATGCCAGCATGTGCACCCTGGCGCGATGTAGGATTGCCTGGGCGCGACAGTCACGTTGATTCGCGGCGTGAAAGTCCCAATAATTGTGTTCTGGCACGGTTACAGATTCTCAGATGGTTGTCTTCCAATGGTGCACGTCCCGCAAGGAAAGTGAATCATAGACGCGTCGCGTAACCCCATCAGCCTCTCCAGAAACGATGCCCAGACGAGGTGCCCTGAACAGGGATGTGAAAGAGCATGCAGTGGAACAACAGGCTGGGTAAGACGTCGTACCTCAAGAGGGGTGGTATGGAGTATGGAGGAGGAATCGGAGGAGCAGGAAAGGAGGAGGAGGAGGAAGGAGAGGGGGGGGAGGAGGAGGAGGAGGAGGAGGAGGAGGAGGAGGAGGAGGAGGAGGAGGAGGAGGAGGAGGAGGAGGAGGAGGGAGGAAGAAGGAGGAGGAATAGACGGATTAGGAAGAGGAGGAGAAGGAGGAGGAGAGCGAGCAGAAAAGCCAGAAGCCTCATGGGTGCCTCTCGGAGTCTCGTCGGATTTCTTCCGAGAGCTTCTTGGAGTCCTCTTGGGGTGTCTTGGGGGTCTCTTGGCAGTCCCGGGTGCCTCATGGGGCGTCTTGGGTACCTCTGGTGGGCCTCTGGGGGGCTCCTGAAGCCCAACATGTGGCCAACAATTGGGTCAGATAAATGATTTTGGCTTCCTCGCCGAGGCCTTTTTGGATGCTCTCACGCCTCGCGCCCCCCCCCATTCAAACCCGGGGGGAGGGGGTGAGAGGAGGGGTACAGACAACCTCCCCGCCACCAAGCTGTCTCGCTCACTCCCACCCGCCCTCCCAACACATAAGCAGCACCCTGGCCTCAGCATGTTCACCGGTCGTCCTTGGATGGACGGCCACTGGGAGCCAAAGCAGGTTCCATGTGCGCAACGCTGGGGCGAGGTGCGCCACGCGTGCCAGGCGCGCCACGCGCGTCAGGTGCGCCAGGCACCCCATGTGGCCCAAGCGTGCCAGGCACGTGATCCCACCACCCTTGTCGAAGAGGAGTGCGCAATCGCGGCGGGGTGGCCATCACAGCGTTTGGTGGGCCTGCATATAGCAGGCACTATGCCAGCACCCCCGCCGTCCAAGTCAATTACTCCGACGGTAGGACCCCGCACGAGAATATATTTAGCTTGTCCCTCGCCCTTTTCTTCTTCGACTGGCGGAGGCCTTCCTTCCGCCCTCTGCGTCCTCCTCCTCCTCCTCCTTCTCATCCTTCTCCTCATCCTGTTCATTCTTGTCCTACTCGTTGCATGTCTTATCCTCTTCCTCTTCCGCCTCCTCCTTCTCCTTTTCCTCCTCGTCCCCGGGAATTCCCCATGTCGGGCACTCGGGCCCATGACAGTAACAAGTTTGTCGACGACCAGCTCGGCATGCAGGGAGGGGTGGCCCGAGAGGGCTCCGGCCTGAGACTTCCTTTCAATTCACTCACAGACGAGGCTCCCGCCTGAGACTTCCGCCATACTCAAGTGTGAAGAAACCAAAATGTGACAACAGTTACAGGATTCCGATGGCCCGCTTGGATTACTCACATGAGCTGCGGGCCCCATAGGGAAGGGGGCTCCCGCCTGAAACTTCCTTGCAGTTCACTCACAGACGATGCTCCCGCCCGGGACTTCCGCCATACTCAAGCCTGAGGAAGCCAAAAGTGACGACACTTGCAGGATTCAGATGACCCGTTCTGATTACTCACATGAGCTGTAGGCCCCATCAGGAAGGGGCTCCCGCCTGAGACTTTCTCGCAATTCACTCACGAGGCTCCCGCCTCAGATTTCCACCATACTCAAGCTTGGAGAAGCCAAAAGTGACGACAGCTACAGGATTCAGATGACCCGCTCGGATTACTCACATGAGCTGCGGGCCCCATAGGGAGGGGGTTCCCGCTTGAAACTTCCTTGCAGTTCACTCACAGACGAGGCTCCCGCCCGAGACTTCCGCCATGCTCAAGCTTGAGGAAGCCAAAAGTGACGACAGCTACAGGATTCCGATTGCCCGCTCGGATTACTCACGCGAGCTGCAGGCCCCATGGGGAAGGGGCTCCCGCCTGAGACTTCCTCGCACGTCACTTACAGACGAGGCTCCCGCCTGAGACCTCCGCCATGCTCAAACTTGAAGAAGCCCAAAGTGACGACAGCTACAGGATTCCGATTGCCCGCTCGGATTACTCACGCGAGCTGCAGGCCCCATGGGGAGGGGGCTCCCGCCTGAGACTTCCTCGCACGTCACTTATAGACGAGGCTCCCGCCTGAGACTCCCGCCATACTCAAGTTTGAAGAAACCAAAATGTGACAACAGTTACAGGATTCCGATGGCCCGCGCGGATTACTCACACGAGCTGCGGGCCCCATAAGGAAGGGGACTCCCGCCTGAGCCTTCCTCGCAATTCACTCATGGACGAGGCTCCCGCCTGAGACTTCCGCCAGACTCAAGCTTGAAGAGTTTAACAGTGACAACAGGTACAAGATTCCGATGGCCCGTTCGGCTTGCTCACATGAGCTGTAGGCCCCATGGGGAAAAAGCTCCCGCTTGAAACCTATGCGCAATCCACTCACACAGGCGAGGCTCCCGCATGATATGTCCGCCATGCTCGCCATACTCAAGCTTGAAAACGGCCGAGGTGACGGGGTCCCGCCTGAGACTTCTTGTCAATTCATTCACGAGGCTCCCGCCTGAGATGTCCACCATACTTAAACTTGAAGAAGCCAAACAGTGACGACTGCTACAAGATTCAGATGACCCGCTCATATTACTAACATAAGCTGCGGGCCCCATAGGGAGGGGGCTCCCGCCTGACACTTCTTTGCGGTTCACTCACAGACGAGGCTCCCGCCCGAGACTTCCGCCATGCTCAAGCTTGAAGAAGCCAGAAGTGACGACAGCTACAGGATTCCGATGGCCCGCTCGGATTGCTCACACGAGCTGCGGGCCCCATGGGGAAGGGGCTCCCGCCTGAGACTTCCTCGCAAACCACTCATGGATGAGGCCCCCGCCTGAGACTTCATACCCAAGCTCGCAGAAACCAAAATGTGTCAACAGTTAAAGGATTCCGATGGCCCGCTCGGATTACCAACATGAGCTGCGGGCCCCGTCAGGAAGAGGCTCCCGCCTGAGACTTCCTCGCAAGTGACTCATGGACGAGGCTCCCGCCTGAGACTTCCGCCAGACTCAAGCTTGAAGAGTTTAACAGTGACAACAGGTACAAGATTCCGATGGCCCGTTCGGCTTGCTCACATGAGCTGTAGGCCCCATGGGGAAAAGGCTCCCGCTTGAAACCTATTTGCAATCCACTCACACAGGCGAGGCTCCCGCATGATATTTCCGCCATACTCGCCATACTCAAGCTTGAAAACGGCAGAGGTGACGGGGTCCCGCCTGAGACTTCTTCTCAATTCATTCACGAGGCTCCCGCCTGAGATTTCCACCAGACTCAAACTTGAAGAAGCCAAAAGTGACGACTGCTACAATATTCAGATGACCCGCTCATATTACTAACATAAGCTGCGGGCCCCATAGGGAGGGGGCTCCCGCCTGACACTTCTTTGCGGTTCACAGACGAGGCTCCCGCCTGAGACCTCCGCCATGCTCAAACTTGAAGAAGCCAGAAGTGACGACAGTTACAGGATTCCGATGGCCCGCTCGGATTACTCACACGAGCTGCGGGCCCCATGGGGAGGGGGCTCCCGCCTGAGACTTCCTCGCAAGCCACCCATGGATGAGGCCCCCGCCCGAGACTTCATACCCAAGCTCGCAGAGACCAGAAGTGACGACCGTCACAGGAGTCCGATGGCCCGCTCGGATTACTCACGTGAGTTGCGGGCCCCATAAGGAAGAGGCTCCCGCCTGAGACTTCCTCGCAAGCGACTCATGGACGAGGCTCCCGCCTGAGACTTCCGCCATACTCAAGCTTGAAGAAGCCAAAAGTGACAACAATTGCAGGATTCCGATGGTCCGTTCGGGTTACTCACATGAGCTGCGGGCCCCATAAGGAGGGGCTCCCACTTGAACCCCCCTTGCAATTCACTTACAGACGAGGCTCCCGCCTGAGACTTCCTCGCGGTTCACTCACAGACGAGGCTTCCGCCTGAGACATCCTCCATATTCATACCTCAGGAGCCCAGAAGTGACGACAGTTGCAGGATCCAGATGACCCGTTTCGGATTATTCACATGACTTGCAGGCCCCATAAAAAAAGGAGGTTCTTGCCTGAGACTTCTTCGCAAGCCACTCATTGACGAGGCTTCCGCCTGAGGCTTCCGCCATAGTCAGGCTGCAGGAGCCCAAACTTGAGGACAGTTACAGGAGTCCGATGACCCGCCTCGGATTCGATCATGAAGTGCGGGCCCCACAGGGAGGAGGCTCCCGCTTGAGACTGCCTCGCAATTCTTTCACAGACGAGGCTGCCGCCTGAGATGAGTGAGTGCGTGAGTGAATGAGTGAGTGAGTGAGTGAGTGAGTGTTGATGATGATGATGCTGATGCTGATGCTGCTGCTGCTGCTGATGATGATGATGATGATGATGATGATGATGCTGATGCTGATGATGATGATGATGATGATGATGATGATGATGATGATGATGATGATGATGATGATGATGATGATGATGGTAATGATGATGATAATGCGAGTGAGTAAAGGTAGGTTGGTGAGTGAGTGGGTGAGTGCGTGAGTGGGTGATGGTGATGATTGTGTGAGTGAGTGTGTGAGTGGGTGACTGAGTGGGTGAGTGAGTGAGTGAGTGAGTTAGTGAGTGTGAGTGATCATGTGTGTGAGTAGTT